GAGTCACTTTTTATATGTCTTTCTTTTTCCTTTTTCCTTTTTCCTTTTTCTTTCTTTCTTTCTTTCTTTCTTTCTTTCTTTCTTTCTTTCTTTTTTGGTATATCTTTTATAATTATGTATTAGCTTTTAATTATGTAAAACTCTAATAAAAATATTATGGAAAACGATTAGGAAAAAAATGCTATAAAATGTGATGTAAGTTACACATTATAGCCATCTGAACCAGTGCTGCTTGTGTCTTATCCTGTAGAGGAAACAGGGAATGGCCTTGAAGAACAGGAGGAAGAGCCACTTCCAAGGCAATGGTCAGTTAAGTGGGGCTTGGGCCCAGGTGAAGAAACTAATTTGAGAAAATGTCTCAGACAAGCCCCTCTCTAGTTCACACAAAGATAAAGTGGGAGAGGGAAAGCACACTTAGACTTACAAGGTTTTGTTACTATAACTGTTACAATAAAAGTACTCCTGACCAGTGCCTGCTGAATGAACCAGGAACTCCTTGCAAGCAGTTGATTCAACTCATTCCAAAAGCCTGAAATGTGCCATCAGGAGGAAATATTAAGCATATATGTAGACAGTGAGTAGGACTAGATCAACAATGTGGTTCATTCTGATTTGTCAGTCTTGTGTCATTTCAAACAAAATATTATTTTTTGAAGTCATACATTTGATCACAGAACCTTCAAGGTTCACTGTGAAAGTTTTATTGAATTTTATGGGTAAAATCTCTTACATAATAGTCTGGATGCGACCACTGATGCAGTCAGTCACGTTGTCTACCATTTTACATTGTGACTGTCGCGTAACATGATTTCTAGTTTTTAGGCAGGAGTTATTAGCTATTAAAATATTAGTTAATATTTTACATGGCTCTATTAGGGATGAAAGGATGCTTCCCTGCTTTAGAGATGCACAATTATTAAGCCAGTCTTTATGCTCCCACAGTGGATAAGGTTAACAAAAAAGATTGTGGCTTTTCAGCTATACGTAACATCCTTTCTTCAATGCTTTTCAAAATCTGCAAAAAGCCATTATTATTGCAGTCGAGGACCCCACCCCCCACCAAATGGGTAAAATTACTAAAAACTATAAGCCACAGTAATGTAATGTAATACGCACACACAGTACTGTGCAAAAGTTTTAGGCAGGTGTGACAAAATGCTA